TCGGTCGGAATTCGCCAGGAAGGGGGGGGGCACGGGACAGGCAGAGGGGAGGGGGCACGGTCGGTCGGAGCAGTCCAGGGGGGGGTGCACGGATGACGGGGGGGCGGGGGCACGGTCGGTCGGAATAAGCCGTGTGGGGGGGTCGTCGGGGGAGAGCAACAAGGCCGCGGGACGGTGGCAGGCTTTGACATATCGACGCGCGTACCAACACAGATGGTCGGAGCAGCGCGCATACAGCAGACATCCCAGCACGCAGGACAGCAGACGGAGAGAGGACACACCCCGGCGTTCACATTCCAGGAAACATGTCTTCGCGCATCCAAGGGCACGTCGAGCACATTACAGGCGCGCGTTCCAGCATAGTGAGACGTCGGAGCAGTGCGCAGACAGCAGACATCCCAGCACGCAGCCCAGCAGACGGAACCAGGACGCACCCCCGCGTTCACATTCCAGGATACATGTCTTCGCTCGTCCCAGGGCACGTCCAACACATTCCAGGCACGCGTTCCAGTCCAGCACATTCTAGGCACTCACTTCAGCAGATGGAGACAGGACACACCCCGGCGTTCACAGTCCAGGACACATTTCTTCGCGCATGCCAGGGCACGTCCATCATACTCCAGGCACGGTCGGTCGAAATAGTGCAGTGCGAAATCACGCCGGTAGGTATGATGATTAGCCCTCCCTCCAAGCTCCCTCTTCATAGGCCCCATACAGCGGTTCATTTCCATTGAGGGAACTGCCTCGTAGGAAGACGACCGTTTGAAGATCCTGAAGCGTGCCAAAACATTGTTCTCTGGATTTCAACGCCACGTATCAACCTGACTGCTGCGTCCTGACGATCCGGAAGCGTGCCAGAACGCGATTTTGGGGACACCGCGAATCAACATAATTGTTGCGGCCGCATAATCCTCAATCCTTCCAAAACACCATTTCTGGTACGTTGATCGTGGGATTCCGTGCGCGGCACTAAAGCGAGAGCCACATTTTGAAAAGGAGCCGCTTTCAATCCATGAAGCTCTAGCACATTTTGATACCGAATGTGCGCGGCCCTACGGCGAGAACCACATTTTGAAAACGACCCGCCCCTCAATGCGTGAAGCTCTTGCGAATTTCGAAAACGAATGTGCGCGGCGCTAATGCGAAAACCACATTTTGAAAACTACCCGCCCTCAATGCGTGAAGCTCGTGCAAATTTTTAAAACGAATGTGCGCGGCGTTACGGCGAGAGCCACATTTTGAAAACCACCCGCCCTCACTCCGTGAAGCGTTTGCAAATTTCGAAAACGAATGTGCGCGGCGCTAAGGCGAGAGCCACATTTTGAAAACCACCCGCCCTCATTGCGTGAATCGTTTGCACATTTTTACAGCGAGTGTGCGCGGCGCTACGGCGAGAGCCACATTTTGAAAAAGATCCGATTCCAACGCGTGAAGTTCTTGCAAATGTTTAAAACGCATGTGCGCGGCGCTACGGCGAGAGCCACATTTTGAAAGCCACCCGCCCTCCATCTGTGAAACTGTTTTCATAGTAAAAGCTTTCGCGCCCGGCCCGCCCTAAAAGCTGGCCTCGGGGTGCGACAGGGAGAAATCATCTATAAGGACAAGGAGTGGAGGAGGACGAGGAAGAGGAGGAGGAGGAGGTGGAGGAGGAGGAGGAGGAAGCGGAAGAGGATGATGATGATGCTGATGAGGAGGTCGGAGGAGGGGAGGAGGAGGAGGATTCTTCTTAGTTTATGATCGTGAGCATCTTATTATCGTCTTAGTATTATGAGGAGAAGGAGAGGCTTCGGAGGAGGCGGAGGAGGAGGAGGAGGAGTCATTCGTTCCCTTCACTGCAAGGAGACGAGGCGCCGAGGAGGCCCTCCCCTTCTCTTCGGCATCCTTCCTCCTTCACTCATCGTCTGTCCTCGCTCCTCCCTCCTCGCCTCTTCCTTCCTGCTCTCTCCCCCGTCACCTCTCCACAATTACACAGTATGATTACTGCTCTTCTCTCCCCTCATGACGTCCGGAAGATGTCCGCCCCACCTCCGCGTATTTCGTTTTTTACAACGGATTCCTGGGAGTTGGGTTCTCGTTCTTATTTTTAGTAATATTGCTCCCTCTGAAGCGCTGGCCTCATTCTCGGGCTTCCGCTCGTTCCGAATCGTGCTCCCGCTGCAGCACTGGCCTCATTTCCGCGATCCCGCTCGTTCCGAATCGTGCTCCCGCTGCAGCGCTGGCGTCATTGTTTCCAGTGCCATGCCACGGCATGCAATGCAATGCAATGCTATGTGGTGTTCCGCTTTGCGATGCCATGCCTTCAGCTGCAATGCTAGGAGCCGCAGTGCCACGCCATGCTATGCCATGCTACGCTTTAATCTTCAACGCCATGCTATGCCATGTTCTGTTCTGTGCCGCTGTGCGATGCCATTCTTTGCGTTGCAATGCTTTGTGATACAATTCTTCACTACGCAACGCCACGCCATGCTATGACATACCACGCTCTGCCGTGCTCTTCTACGCCCTGCGAGGCCGTGCTCTACGATGCATCGCGCACCCTCTCGGGATCCTTGCCCTAGTCGACATCCGACTGTGCGAATAGAGAGGAGATCTACGCCATGGTAAGGGATAGGGAGGGGTACGACGTTAGATAGTACGCGAGCGCACCTAGCTTGTCCCTATTCTCTCCCTCCTCTCCCCTCCACCTCCCATGCGGCACGTCCAGATCTCATGTAACCTTGATCCTCGTCCTCCTCCTTCCATTGTGTCTTTCTTCTTGCCCCTCCCTCCCTTGCCTCCTCTCCCCCTCCCCCCCCCTCCCCCCTCCTTCCTCCCCTTCTCACTCCCTCCTCCCTCGCCTTCCTGTCCCCCCCCCCTCCTCCCTCTCCTCCCTCCCTCCCCTCCCCTCCCTCCCTCCCTCCCTCCCTCCCCTCTGCGGGGGCCGGGGGCGAAGGCGGCCGACGCGGGCCTTGGGCGAACGAGAGAAGTGGCCCCCGAGACGGGAGCACCGGGGGCTCAGGTCCGGGGCGACGTCTGCGACCTCCACGACGCGGCCTTCCGCGACGCGGGCGGCGCCGGCGGTGGCGGCGGCGCTGCCATCGCGGCGGTGCCTCGCCGGCACCTGCCCCTGGCCTTCTACCTGAAGGCGGCCGCGGGGCCGAGCTCGCGAGCGCGCGCGCGCGGCGCCTCCTGCTCGCGGGGGTCGGAGGCTCCGCCGCCGTGGTCCGGCACTCCGGGGTGGTGTTTCCCCAGGCAGCTGCACCAGGCAGACGTCCGAAAGGCATGTGTTTGCTTCGAATAGGGGAACAAAAAGTGGCATAGACATAAAAACTCAGAGGTCCGCGCGGATTTCTCGGATCGGCGCTGGGGCCACCCGGCGGCGCCTCAGGCGCCGCCCCTGGCGCGCTCCGTGCGCCAGGGAGGGGGGTCCAGCGCCGATCCGAGAAACCCGCGCGGACCTCCGAGTTTTTATGTCTATGCCACTTTTTGTCCCCCTATTCGATGAGACGTATCGTCGATTCCCCGCGGCGGATCCAGGCCATTCGCGAGGAGTTGCTGTGCGGGCAGTGGAGCGCGCTCGTCTGCAGCCTGTCTGGGCGTGGTGCTTCTGCTGAGGCCAGGGCTTCCCCCCCCCCCGCGAGTTCCGGAAGCGGCAGCCCGCAGGGCCTCCCGCAGGTGTGGTCTCCCGCACGGCCCCCCGCATGGTCTCCCGCATGGCCTTCCGCAGGAGCTCCCGGAGGGCCTCCCGACTGGTCTCCCGCACGGTCTGCCGCACGGTCTGTCGTATGTTTCCGCGTGGGCCTCCCGCATCGTCTCCCGCGCCGTTCCCCGCACGGTCTCGGTTATGGTCTCCCACATTGTCTCCTGTATGGCCTCTCGTATGGTTTCGTGCCTGGCCTCTGGTAGTTTAGCGCTCGCTGGAGTCCTTTCAATCGTATTCTTCACTCTCTCTACAGGCCTTTCGGTCGGTGTTCTCTTTAGTATTGTAAGCGCTACTTTGGGTCTTCTGCTGCCAAGGAAGGTATTGTCATTCTCGTCTTGAGTGCAGCGCGCTTGCTAGCCTGAACAGGACCGTCACGGGCAGATTTGCCCGAGTCTCGGTTTGCTCCCCTCTCCAGGTCGCCATTTGTTGCAGCACGCAGGGAGGAGGATGAGGAGCAGGGAGAGGACAGGGAGGTGGGGAAGGAGAGGGAGGAGGGGGAGGAGGAGAGGGACGAGGAAGGAAGGGAGGAGGGGGAGGGGGAGGGGGAGGAGGAGGAGGAGGAGGAGGAGGAGGAGGAGGAGGAGGAGGAGGAGGAGGAGGAGGAGGAGGAGGAGGAGGAGGAGGAGGAGGAGGAGGGGGAGGAGGAGGAGGAGGAGGAGGGTGAGGAGGAGGAGGAGGAGGAGGAGGAGGAGGAGGAGGAGGAGGAGAAGGATCCTCGATCCTCCCACGATGCTCCCCCGATTTTCCATTCCCCCCGCTTCAATCCGCCCGCCCTGCCCTTTTTGGGACGCCCTTGGCGTTCTCTGGGGCCCCCTGCGGATCTCGGAGACCTCCAGGCGCAGGCGCCTTCTGGGGACCTCGGAGACCCAGAGATCCGATGTTTTGAGTGTGCTCGATAGTCTGCCTGTCCGAGGCGCCCATCCCGCCTCGGGTGGGGGGGGGGGGGCTGGCCTCCTGCGAGGCGGTTCCGAGGGCGCCCGCCGCGGCCTTGGCTCGGAACCGCCGACCTCCCTCTGGCAGCCCCCCCCCCCCCCCCCTGGGAGCTCTTGCCCCTGCTCCCTTCAGGAGCAACGTTGGGAGGGTGTGCGTGGGGGAAGGCTCGGAGGGGGTGGATCCGGCGTTCTCGTCCGTCCTCGGCGGTTTTCCACCCTCGGGGCGCTCCCAAGCAGGTGCGCCACGCCAAGGGCGTGCCAGGATCTTCCCGAACGGCCGCTGGAGAGCCGACCTATAACCGAAGACCGAACCCGGTCGGGGGCAACGTCAGGGGTGGGGTGGGCTCGGGGGGGACGCATCGACCCCCGACCGCCCATTCGTTGCCGATGGAGGCCCAATGGCCCACCCTGCTCATGAGCGTGCTGTTTCGCGCCAGCGGGGGCCCATCGATCGCCGATCTACCGGTGGTTTGTCGCCGATTCCGGGTCGATGTCTCCCCCCTGAGCCGGCCCCCCCTCCCTCCCTCCTCCTCGTCGCTCCCCCCTCGTCCTGGATGTACGCCCAGTTCCCGCCAGCATGGCCAGCGTTCCTCCTCGTCCCCTGCCTCTCCCCCCTCCCTCCCTTCAGGAGGGAAAACACACACAGACACAATTCATCGCCGACCCCCAGAAAAAGAAATATATATATATGTATATAGGAACATATGGGAAGTGGAGGGGGAAGACACAAACCCAGAAACTGTGGGAAAGTATTGGGAATGTTTTTGTTTGTGTGCATTTATTTGTGTGTCCTGGGGCCCCTTCACTCCTTGTCTCTCCTTGCCTCTGCCTTCCTGCCTCTCGCGCCCGAGCGGGCGCCCACCCCTCGCCGGCCCCGCGGCCGCGGGGTGGCGCGGCGGGCGCGCCTCCTCTCCTCCTCCTCCCTCCTCCTCCTCCTCCTCCTCCTCCTCTCCTCCTCCTCCTCCTCCTCCTCCTCCTCCTCCTCCTCCTCCCCTCCTCCTCCTCCTCCTCCTCCTCCTCCTCCTTCCCTCTCTCCCACCTCCCCGCCCCCGCGCTCCGTCGTCCCTCTACAATGAAATTACACCACATGAATGCTACTCTCCTCTCTCTCTCCCCCGAGGATGCTGGAAGGTGTTCGGCCCCCCTCCGCGTAGCGTTCTTCCACACAGGGTTCCCAGGAGTTGGGAATTTGCTTGGGCTTGTTTTCGAAATGTTGTTCCCGCTGAAGCGCTGGTCTCATTCTCGGGCTTCCGCTCGTTCCGAATCGTGCTCCCGCTGCAGCGCTGGCTTCATTTCCGTACTTCCGCTCGTTCCGAATCGTGCTCCCGCTGCAGCGCTGGCCTCATTTCCGCGCTTCAGCTCGTTCCGAATCGTGCTCCCGCTGCAGCGCTGGCGTCATTATTTCCAGTGCCATGCCACGGCATGCAATGCAGTTTCTATGTGGTGCTCCGCTGTGCGATACCATGCCTTGAGCTGCAATGCTAGGATATGCAGTGCTTGACTACGCAGTACCACGCCATGCTATGCCATGCTACGCTTTGACTTTCAACGCCATGCTATGCCATGTTCTATTTTGTGCCGCTGTGCGATGCCGTTCTTTGCGTTGCAATGCTTTGTGATGCAATTCTTCACTACGCAACGCCACTCCATACTATGACATACCACGCTCTGCCGTGCTCTTCTACGCCCTGCTAGGCCGTGCTCTACGATGCATCGCGCAGCCTTTCGGAATCATTGTCCTGCTCGACATTCCGACTGTGCGAATAGAGAGGAGATCTACGCCATGGTAAGGGATGGGAGTGATGGGGTAGGACGTCAGATATGACGCGAGCGCACCTAGCTTGGCTCCTTCCCTCCCCCCTTCCCCTCCCCTCCCTTCCTCCCTGCCTCCCTCGTCGTCGTCGTCGTCGTCGTCGTCGTCGTCTTCCTCCTCCTCCTCCTCCTCCTCCTCCTCTAACTCCTCCTCCTCCTCCTCCTTTTCCTCCACCTCCTCCTCGTCCTCGTCCTCCTCCTCCTCCTCCTCCTCCTCCTCCTCCTCCTCCTCCGACGACGACGACGACGACGACGACGACGAGGACGTAGCGTCCTCCTAGGCGTCGCCCCTGCTCGTCCGATGCCGTCTGGGCTCGAGTGCCTCTCTCGGTGCTCGGGATCCCCCCGCTCTTCGGCTGCAGCGCACAGCTTGGCCAGGAAAAGCTCGGCCGGGCTGAACTCGGCCAGCTGTCGGCCAGCGGATCTCGGCCAGTCGACTAAACGTAAGTGTGACCCTTCGCTGGAGTGACCCCTGGTGCGGGCTCACCAGGATCCCCCGATCGCTGAGCGCGATGCGATAGTGGCTGCTTGCGCGCTTGGATTTGGCCACCTCGCGCCCCCATAGTCCACGCACTGAAGGTCACTCTCGCCTAGGGCCACCTCTTGCGCGTAGCCGAGCCAGGCTGGACTCGGCCATGCTGAACTCGGCCTGGGCCGAGTTCGGCCTGGCCGAGCTCAGCTGGCCGAGCCCAGCCTGGCCGAGTCTCGCCTGGCCGAATCTTTCCTTGGTTAAGGGACCGCATGCGAACCCTACCCCTACCCCCCACGATTTCTGAGGGGGGTAGGGGTAGGGTTCGCATGTGGCCCCCTACTGGTCCTTCCGCAGCGTCCGGTTGCGGCGCCCCCAGGGAGAGCTCTCTCGCGCGCGGCCGATGGCGCGGACCGGCGCCGAGCCCCGCCTGGCGCCCCTCGCCAGCACCTTCCCGGTCTGGGGCGAGCCGCCCCGCGCCCGCAAGCGCAGCCACAGCCACTCGGGGTACTCAGGCGCAACGCTCCCAGACATGATCTCGTCGTAGCAAAAATCAGGACGGGAGGTTTTTGGCTATCTTCGGCCTCGGGGGGCCCTCGCTGGGCCTCGGGACCGTCAAAACACGACTCGGGACGAAAAGCAGGTCCCAGGGAAAGGGTCGGGACTTCCGGGGAGGAGGAGGAGGGAGGGAGGGAGGGAGGGAGGGAGGGAGGGAGGGAGGGAGGGAGGGAGGAGGAGGAGGAGAGGAGGAGCAGGAGGAGGAGGAGGAGGAGGAGGAGGAGGAGAAGGAGGAGAGGAGGAGGAGGAGGAGGAGGAGGAGAGGAGGAGGAGGAGGACGTCGCATGTCTGGGCTGGGGGAGGGGGTAGGGGACGGGCTCCGGGGGGGGGACGAGGCTCGGGAGCGCGAGGATTTCGCACGTCCTCGTCCCTGGGCGGCCGCCTTCCGGCCTCGGAGCGCTCCCCGGCACCTGCGCCTCGCCCGGGGCGCTCCGGGGGTGCCCAGGCCGTCCCGAGCGGAGGCCAGAGAGCTAAGCTCTTTTCGGAGTCCTAGAGATTGACACCAACACCAAGATCGGCGGTGTGCCTCCACCGAGGGAAGACGATCCCAATCTCGGTGATGGTGGTGATATTCTGGCTTCCAAGGTGACCGAAATATTACCCCCAACACCGAAATCTAAGATCATCATCTCCCTGTGTAGGCAAACCCCTGTGCTGGTGTTGGTGCCAATTTCCAGGCCTCCAATCTTTGACCCAGAAGCCCGGGGGCGACGCTGCGGGGGGCCGTTAGGCTCCAGGGGGGGGTACCGACTCATCGCCGACGGAGGCCCGACGGCCCACCCCTCCCAGGAGCGCGCGGCTTCGCCATGAGGGGCGGGTCGCCGATGCTTCGGTGACTCCAGGTCGGCGTTTCCCGCTGAGCCGGTTCCCACCTTATCGTTCCCTTTCAGGTACGCGCCCCACCATCTCCAGCCGACGCTCGACAACCTCGAGGAGGGGCGCGGCAGCGGATGCCGTTGTGCCCTGTCGGGCGTGGCGGCGTGCACCTCCGCCGACTCGGACGGCGGCTCGACCTCTGCGCCCAGGAGCCGCGCCTCGGAGGCCCCGGGCAGCCCAAGGGGGGACGAGGAGCAGGCGGGCGGCCTCGACGAGGAGAGCGCGCCGGAGCTGTGGCCGGACACCGACGAAGACGACGAGGCGTTCGAGTGGACGCCCTGCAGCAGCCGCAGGGGTGCCGCGGTCCCGGCTCCTGTCGGCGCAGGGGCCTGGGCGGAAGGCGCGGCTTGCTTCGCGTTCCTGGCGCCGCCGAAGGTTTTCGCCACGGCTTCGGCCAGCATGGCCGCGTGCTCCCCGGCGGTGGCTGCAGCCCTGCGCGCGCCGCCATCAGTGCTGCTGGCCCCAGTGCACTTGCGCGGCCACGCCGGGGCAGTGCCGCCAGGCGCCCTCGGACTGCCAGTGCCGACGCAGGCCGAGCTGCGGGCGCCCGCGCCCCGCGTGCCACTAGTGCTCCAGACGGTGGCCGCCGTGGCGTTCGGCGGCCAGCGTTCACCGGTGACCCACACTGTGCTGGCTGGTGCCGCGGCCACCTCCCCGTGCGGCGCCGATAGCCTGGAGTCCGCCATGCGGGCTGCCGAGTCGACGTTGGCGGCCATCGAGGCGGAAGAGGCTCAGCATCGTCTACCGTCTAGCCTATCCCCATCCCCGCCTGGGTTCTCTCAGCCCCACCAGCCACACCCCTCCGAGGTGTGAATATCTTTGGAAAGCCATTAAGATCCCCCTCCGGTCGGCAAAAGGGTTAAATCGTCTGCACCAGGAAGCGTAATTCCAGCACCCAGAGGATGATGATGGTGATGATGATGGTGATGGTGATGGTGATGGTGATGATGATGATGATGATGATGATGATGATGATGATGATGATGATGATGATGATGATGATGATGATGATGATGATGATGATGATGATGATGATGATGATAATGATGGTGATGGTGATGGTGATGGTGATGACGATGATGATGATGATGAGGAGGAGGAGGATGAGGAGGGGGGCGAAGGAGCCCTCCCTCGCTTCCAAAAGGTGGCTCTCGCTTTAGCGCCGCGCGTATTTGCTTCAAACATGTTCAGGACTTTTGCGGATAGAGGGCGGGCCGTTTCCGAAATGTTGCTCTCGCCTCAGCGCCGCGCGCATCCAGTGAACAAAACGTTGCAAGAGTTTCAAGGATTGAGGGCGGGTCGTTTTCAAAATGTGGCTCTCGCCCTGGTGCCGCGCACATTCGCTCGTAAACACGTTGCAGGAGTTTCACGGATTGAGGTCGGGCCGCTTCCAACATGTTGCTCTTGCCTGAGCGCCGCGCGCATTCGTTTCAAACATATGCCAGAGCTCCACGGATTGAGGGCGGGTCGTTTTCAAAATGTGGCTCTGGCCTTAGCGCCGCGCACATTCGCTTCAAAACTTGGCAAGAGCTTTACGGATGGAGGGCGGGTCGTGTTCCAAATGTATCCCTCGCCTTAGCGCTGCGCACATTCGTTTTGAAAACTTAGCGGGAGTTTCGCTGATTCAGGGCGGGTCTCTTTCAAATAATACTCTCGCCTTAGCGACGCGCGCATTCGTTTGAACAAGTGCATGAGTTTCTCGGATGGAGGGCGGGTCGTCTTCAACATGTATATCTCGCGTTAGCTCCGCGCGCATTCGTTTATACAAAGTGCAAGAGTTTCAGGGATTGAGGGCCCGTCGTTTTCAAAATGTGGTGGCTCTCGCCTGAGCGCCGCGCGCATTCGTTTAACAAAACGTTGCAAGAGTTTCACGGATTGAGGGCCGGTCGTTTTCAACGTGGTTGTCGCCTTAGTGCCGCGCCCATTCGCTGTAAATATGTTGCAAGAGTTTCACGGGCGATGGCGGGCCGCTTCCAACATGTTGCTCTCGCCTGAGCGCCGCGCGCATTCCTTTTTAAACATATGCCAGAGTTGCACGGATGGAGGGCGGGTCGTTTTCAAAATGCATCTCTCGCGTTCGCGCCGTGCGCATGCGCTTAAACAAGTTGCAAGAGTTTCACTGATGGAGGGCGGCCCGTGTTCAAAATGTGTCTCGCCTGAGCGCCGCGAGAATCCCCGTGTTATGCACTGCACAGGTTTCACGGATTGACTGCGGCTCGTTTTCGAAATGTAGCTCTCGCCCGAGCGCCGCGCACATTTGTTTTAACAGCTTTGCAAGGGCTTCACGGATTGAGGGTGGTTCGTTTTCAAAATGTGTCTCTCGCCTGAGCGCCGCGAGAATCCTTGATTTATGCATTGCGCAATTTGCACGGCTTGACTCGGCTCGTTTTCAAAATGTAGCTTTCGCCTGAGCGCCGCGCACATTTGTTTCAACAGCTTTGCAAGGGCTTCACGGATTGAGGAAGGTTCGTAGCGACCTTGCCAGGCAGATCGCAGCCTTACCAGACAGCTACCCTACCAGACAGCCCGCCCGACCAGACAGCGCAAGTACACTGAACCCGCGTAGTATTGGTGAACGACCTCCCACGGTTACCCTTCCATTCTTCCCCTTCTGCCAATCCTTGGCCGTTTTCGCTGGCCGCGCCCCGCGCGCAACGTGTCAACGTGGCCTTCCAAGGCCCCTTGCATCCTTCTCGCGCGTCTTTATTACGCGGCTGGACTCTGCAGCACGGCGCAGCAGCACGTCCGCAGCGAGTTGCTGCTCAAGCGACTTGCCAAAGCTTCGAGTTTCAGTAGCAGCACTACTACTGTTGAGTACAGGTGCAACTACTAAGCATTTCTAAGTACTAGTACGTACGTACTACTACGATTAGAAGTAATGCTACATAGCATTCGTCTTCGTACTACGACACCTAAATGCTGTCATAGCTAGATACTACTACGACGCATTACTGCTACGAGTATTACTGCTAAGTGCCAGTGCTACTACACTCATAACTTAACTACTTCTACTGCTATTAGCATTCGTATTACTACGACTACTACTACGACTACTCGTACCACTGTTACACAAATCTACTACTCCCACCAGTCAGTACTACGGCGACTATTACTAGTGTTGTTACTACTACTACTACTACTACTACTACTACTACTACTACTACTACCATTACTACTACTACTACTACTACTACTACTACTACTACTACTACTACTACTACTACTACTACTAACATTACGACGACTACTGCTACTATTACAGCAACAACAGCTACTACTACTACTACTACTACTACTACTACTACTCTACTACTACTACTACTACTACTACTAGTGTTACTACTACTACTACTACTACTACTACTACTACTACTACTACTACTACTACTACTAACTACTACTACTACTACTACTACTACTACTACTACTACTACTACTACTACTACTACTACTACTACTACTACTACTACTACTACTACTACTACAAGTACTACTACATCTACTTCTATTACTACTACTACTACTACTACTACTACTACTACTGCTGCTGCTGCTACTACTACTACTACTACTGCTACTACTACTACTACTACTACTACTACTACTACTACTACTACTACTACTACTACTTCTACTGCCACAACTACTTCTGCTATCAACTATTATTTTCCAGTAGTGTTTTTCATATTATCATGTTTCTGATTGCTACTACTGAAAGAAAAGGGGAGCCCCGGGTTTAAACAACCCTCCCCTCTTCCTTCGGAAGGGGGGGGAAGCTTCCGAAGCTCACCCCCCTTCCTTTGGTCTGTGTTGTTAAGCTGGGGGGGCCTTATCGCTGAAGGGGGGGTGACTTCGAAGCTACCTCCTCCCTTCACCTATTTTGGGGGTTCGGGGTTCGCCCGGGCTCTCCTTTACCAGGGGGGGGGCCTTCCGTAGCTACCCTCCCCCCCCTCCGGGCAAAGGGGGGGGGGCTCAGAAGCACCCCCCCCTCTCTTCTTGTCAGGGCCTGGGGTAGCCCTGGCTTCTCTTTCCAGGGGGGGGGGCTTCCGAAGCTACCCCTCCCCCTCATGTGCGCCTGAGGGGGGTGCATTGCAGGGGGGGGGGGTGCTTGCAAGCTCCCCCCCCCCTTTTTTCGGGGGGGGCTTCGCAAGCTACCCCCCCTCCCTGTGGAAGGGGGGTTCGTTGGAGATGTCCTCGAGATGGTTTCACCGAGCTGTTTTTTGCGACGTGGTCTGGGCCGTTCCGCCTGAGACGTCCTCGCTCCTCGCAGTTGTGTGATCCGAGCTGCCGCGGGAGAGGTTGTGTGGCCCTTTGCGCTGGAGAGAGGCTCGTAACTCTGGGCTCCCGGAGTCCTTGTCCTGAGGTTGTGCGGGCTCCACCGGGGGCGCATGCGATGTCCAGGTTATTTTCGGGGTCGTTGGTTCCCCGAATGAACAGTTGTGTTGACAGGGTTCCTGCTCTCATAGAATTCCCGTCTGGCCGAGGGAGCGGCGCACAGGGGCATGTTCAACCAACATCAGGTGCTCTGGGCTGTTTCGCTTAAGACAGTCTCACAACTCCCGTTTCCGAGCTGGCGGCGATTCCGCGTCTATGCATCTACATTCATCGATGCTTACATACGTACATGCATACATACATGCATACATACATGCATACATACATGCATACACACATACACATATATACATACATGCATACATATATACATACATACATACAGACAGACAGACAGGCAGGCAGACAGACAGACATACATACATGTGTACTTCTCTGTGTGCACATCAAGCGCAAGCGCTAATCCTGAGCCCCCCCCCCAAATCGCGATGCCGCTGCAAGGGCCCCCTCAGGGGGAGGATGGGGGGGGAGGAGGAAGGAAAGAGGAGACGCGGGGCGGTGTCTCTTGAAAACGAGGACCAACACCACAGGATGCCTGGGAAAATGAGCTCCCCCTAGTTCCTCCAACTTTCCTTAACTTCCCCGCTAACTTCAACAAACTCTACCGAACTACACTCAACTTGCCAATTTCACTTAATTTAAGTTTCTTAATTGTGCGAAGTTGAGAAGTTTTTCTAGTTATTCCAAGTTTAGGTTAGACCATCTGAGCTCAGTTTAGATCATCTAAGTTAAACTAAATGCAACGTATTTCATCCTAGCAGTACTTGACATATCTCACCAACACTATCTTTGGGCATCTCAGTTTTCTCGGGCCCTGTTTCGTTTTCTCGTTTTCTCGGCCCCTGGGCCATGGTTTCGTTTTCTCCGGCCCTGGTTCGCTTTCTCGTTTTCGGGTTTTCTCGGATTCTGGGTCGTGGTACCGTTCTCTCAGACACTGTTTCGTTTTCTGGTTGTCTCGTTTGTCGCCCGCTGTGTCGTGGCCGCGGTTTCTCGTACCCTGGTTCGCTTTGTTGTCTTGTTTTTTGTTTTCTCTGCCAATTTCTTGTGGTGCCGTTTTCTCGGACCCTCGTTTGTTTTCTCGTTTTCTCGGCCCCTGGGTCGTGGCACCGTTTTTTCGGAGCCTGGTTAGGTTTATCGTCTTCTCGTTTTCTCGGCACCTGGGTCGTGGTCTCGTTTTCTCTGACCCTGGTTGGTTTTCTCGTTTTCTCGTTTTCCTGTTTTCTCGGCTCCTGGGTCATGGGGATGGTTTCGCGGTCCCTGGTTCGTTGCTCGGTTTCTCGGCCCATGGGTCGTGGATTGTTTTTTCGGAACCTGGTTCGTTTTCTCGTTTCCTC